GTAGCGAACGCATGCAATGTGCGCCGTGGGAGAATGATGATGTCGTGCTGGATTGGCATTTTATATGCTGTACTGGTCTGCGTGAGTCTGCAACATGCGCGAGCGAAGTTGGTAGTCTGTAGGACCTTTTGAAACCGCAGCATGGGACTTCGTCCCTCCTCTGTGTGACAACACTTACGACGCATTTCCCGCAATCCCGCACATGACAGAGGGGGGAAGACTGCCTTCGTGACTTCTTCTTTACTTCTTGTTACCCCTTCGCTACAGTCTAGGAGCTTTCGCGTGAGACCAGTCTCCTCATTGCTACAGACGCTCCCGAATGTCTCGAGGCAGCACTCTCTCCCTCCTGCTGATCGTAGTATCCGCTGTGGCCTTGTCGCAAGCTTTCGTGTCGCCTCTCTCCTCAGTCTATAAGCCTGCAACCTCGACACAGCCTGGACAGCTGCCACACAGGACGGTGACATGGTTGTCTGCCGGCAGAGCTAGCAGGGACTGGGCATTGATCTTTGATTGCGATGGTGTCATTCTTGAGGTAGGTGCGTGTTGGAGAGAGATCTCCAGTGCACAGTCTTCTGCAACTTCTCTTATTCAACCTCACCTCCCCCGACCTTTTTCCCTGCGCTGCATGGGACAGTCGGAGTCCTTGCATCGAGAGGCCTACAACACCGTGTTCCGCGAGTTCGAGATCGACTACCGCTGGGACGAGGAGTACTACGATCAGCTCCAAAACAAAGTCGGGGGTGGCATTCCCAAAATGAGGTATTTCTTCGGCGAGAATGGGTGGCCCACGTCGACTTTGGGCGCGGCCCCCACTGAGGAAAAGGGGAGGAAAGACATGCTCAACGCGTTACAGAACCGCAAGACAGATATCTATAAGGACATGATCCGTGGCGGGACCGCTCAGGTCCGTCCAGGGGTCTTGCGGTTAATCGAGGAGGCACGGAGACTGGGCGAGGACCGGCCAAAACTGGCCATCTGCTCGGCCTCCACCAAATCCTCCTGCCTCTTCGTACTGGACAACCTGCTCAAGCCCGACGTACTTCAGCATTTCGACCTCATCCTGGCGGGGGACGACGTCAAACACCGGAAACCTGACCCAGAGATCTACCGGTTGGCGAGCGAAAGGTACGGAGGGATTGGGATTGCTGATCCTGCCCGGGCAGGTCTTTGCTCTCAGGTCTTTGCTCTCCATTTTGAGCCTCACTTCCCTGGACCTTCGATGCCACCGTTCCCCCTCCATGCTCCAGGCTGGCCATTCCCGCCTCCCGTTCTGTGGTCATCGAGGACAGCCTGATCGGCCTGCAAGCCGCCCTAGGTGCCCAGATGCCCTGCGTCATCACCCACACAGCCTCCACCAAGGCTCAGGATTTCTCTCAGGCCCGTGCGGTTTTCTCCGAACTGGGAGATGGCAACCACGTGCAGGTTACGGCCCGCGAGTTGATGGAGATTGCATTGGGAACACCCTTATGATTGAGGGCGTAGTGGTGAAAAGAAAGAAAAAAAGATTTGTATATGGTATTAGGGCCTGATCGGTCGGGCAGACTACGCGGGGGTTCATGACATTTGATTTTATTTTTTTCGTTTTTTGACTGCCGGCCGTCATACTGGTACACCCATGGCCTCAGTCCACTACGCTTAATCCCCCCCCCCCTATCCTCGGGTCGTCCCCACCATGTCCTCGAGTCCTCCCGCCCAGGCTCTCGAACATTCTGGATGCCCGCCTTCTTGCCCGCTGCAGCAGGCCGTGCTTGCTGAGCAGGCGCAGGGCAAAAATGATACACCGGCTCACTTGAAAATACAAGAGACAGGCCCACACCCCTTGGATCCCTGCAGCCACGTGCTGCAACCTCCGAAGCCCGACCAGGACGAGCAAGGTGTTGATTGCGTAGGAGGACGCGAGAAATCGGAGCTCCCGCTCTGCCAATAAGGTCCCCTCCAGGGCCATGGTGCAGGCGTGCGCGAGCAGGCACAGGGAAAGCCACGGGGCGATCAAGTGCATTTGGCCGACGATGGCGGCACTGGTGGTGAAAAGACCAGGGAAAAACGAAGGGAGCAAGCCCGCGAGCATGGCGTTCAAACCGCCCACCCCCAAGGAGATGGAGACGAGCCTCCGCACCACCTTCCCGATGGCGAGCTTGTTGTCGTCGACCAGAAAGCCGGGGAGGAAGGCTTGAGCCGTTGTGGAGAGGGAGTCGCCGAAGGTAGTGAAGAAAAAGAAGCATCGGAGCATGACCTGATGGGCGGCAAGGGGCACGGCACCCATCATCTGCGCGGCGATGCCCAGGGAGGTGTAACAGAGCGACTTGCCGAACAGGGCAAAAAAGACCGGCCCTGCAAAGGTGAAGAACTTGGCAATGTCCTTAAGGGGGGAAGAGAGGGCGATAAAAGGATAGAAACGCCGGGGTCCCTGGGCGCGTTTCAGGGCCCGGAGGAGGACGACAGTCCCGACTATCTCTGCCACCACTGTCGCCGCCGCCGCGCCGGCAATGCCGCACTTTCCGAACGACACCAGGGTCATGTCCAGGATTAAATTGATCGCACCCGCGCCGAGGGTGACCAGGAGCGGTGTGACGGAGTCCTTGGCGCCGAGAAGGGAGGATTGAGCGACCATGCCCACCAAGACAAAGGGGGCTCCCAGGGCCCGAATGTTGGTGTACTTGAGGGCAACAGGGATGAGAAGGGGGCCGTCCGCACCGATGGTCGCAGCTAGCATTCTTTTGCCCGCGAATTCGATGACAAGCATGACGAGGATACCGGCGCCGAGGGCAATGGCGAGGGCGTGCGAGACCACAGTCTGGCTCTTGGCTTCGTCCCCATCCGCCAGCGCGCCCGCCAGAAGATTTGTGGTGGCCACCGCCAAAAATGTGAAGAGATAGATGAAGGAGTCGCATAGGTTGGTGGCGGGGCCCATGCCAGCCAGCTCCAAATCGGAGGAAAGGCCCACCACGCTCGTATCGACCAAGGACATGATCGGCCCGGCCAGCCATATGCCCAGCGTGGGAATAGTAAAACGCAAAAGCGCCGCCAGGGTGGGCACGGCTTGTTTACTGTCAGCTATGCGCTGGAAAGGGGTCGATGTCGGACTGTCAGTGTCCGGTGTGGCTGTGTGTATGTCAGGCGGTAGACCATCCTCGAAATCATCAGGAGCCGCCGGCGCAATCGATCCAGCAAAAACGCAATGCTTTCCGGACCGACGGAATGATGATGGGGCAGACACATGCAGCCGACTTGGAAAAGTAGTCAATGATGGCGAAATTCTTCCTCTTGGAGCATTGCGTAAATGGAGATTTGTAAAAGCCCCCGTGACGCAGAAGAGACACGCTAGCGTGCTTGCCCGGATCGCCAGGTGGTGTTCCTTCATACTTTCTGAGCAAAGCTGCTTTCGTAAGAATCCGGAAAATGATTGCGTAGTAGCATCCACAACCCAAAGGACTGGTGTCTCGCCTGTGCTAAGTATTCGTCGTGAATAATATTGGAGCACGGTCATTTCGATTTCCTCTTCGTCATGACGACTGGGTTGCCAACGTCACGAGACGTACTCTGTCCTCGCCGAAAAACCAGTCGCTACTTGTCCGACGTGAGAAAAAGTGCCATCTTAAATTGAGGACACACGCCCGTCATCATTTTTTCCGTCTTAAGTGTACGGGAGAAAGTATTGAAGGAGTTGTGAATGCGTTAGCTCTCAGACTTGAGGGTAGAAAGTGAGGGGAATATGGGATTCCTTCAGGCTTGCTCGTGACGGGCTTGGACACCTATTGCCTGGACCGTCTTATTCCTAATCCTTGACGCTCTTTTTCCCCTAAGCATCCCACCTGTAGAGCGGAAATTCACTTAAACCCCTAAAGGCATGCTTATCAGACCACTTCTTCCCCTTTTCCATCTTCTGCTCCCTCCCGTCCTCCTTGCTTTCCACCCGCAACCCCCATCGCCTTCCCCCCCGCCCTTCCCTCCTGCAAGTCCTCAGCCCCCTTTGACATCCAGCCGCCGCGACTTCCTTTCTAGTGTGAGCATTATTCCCTCATTCCTGTGCTTTCTTTTTGAGGCTCCACGGCCGTCCCATGCCTCGAGCGCTCGCGAAGCTGTTGCCAAAGCGGCAAGTAAGCTTCCCGGTTACGGCGCACCTGACACATTGTATCCCTCGTTTTTCGCGGGTGATTGGATGGTAACCAGGGAGGTAGTAGGCCTTGTGGTACCCCCAGAGGAAGTCGGCAAGGTATCTCCCGAGGATCTGGCGCAAGCGACGGCGCAACAGGGTGAAAAGCTGAAGTATCTGGTGCGGTTCCTGCCGTACGAGGCAGATGGAAGGAGCCCGCGAAGCGAGGCCTCAGTGGAGGGACAGATATCTACGACACTGGTAATAGCAGATCGAGGATTCAACGAGGAACAACTGTGGAAGGCCCGCCTTGCGAAAGCGGGAAAAAGCGAGCTGTACCAAGAAGGGGTCTCGAGCCGTTGGGACCGTGGCAACCCCAACGTCCTTACTGTCTCCTTCCCCGACGGAACGGTTCGGGAGATCAAAGTCACAAAACGGTCCTTTGAAAATTCGGCGGTGGACGCCTTCGGTTCCTCAGAGTATTGCCGAGTGGCGGACGCGGCCGCCGACACCGGGATCGCCTCTGTTCCCCGCCTCAGTGCTTTGCGGGTCTTGCGCCGGTTCAAGCGGGTAGGGGAAGACATCGAAGGACTGGAGCTGGTCAAATACTACCCCACGGTGAGCTTTAGTGCCGACCCGCCATCGATCATGACGGTGAAGGCGCGAATAAAGATGGAGCGTTCGAGGTAGCCCAACAGGGAGGACAGGAACATAAGGCTTCTCACACAAGAGACATGAAACCCCTCCGGGGGAATTGAAAATCACATTGTCCTCTGCACGTTTGTACATATGCTTTATTTCGCGCCTCTATCCGTTCAAAAAGGCCCTTTCCATCACTTCGCCCGGGCTCGCTTGCCTCGACGCCCCATGCCCTGCCCTTCGCTCCCTTTCCCCTCCTCTGTCCCGCCCCCATCTTTCTCTTTCTCTCCACCACACGGCCCATTGACCCGACCCGCCGCCTCCCCTTCCTTTTCCACATCTACGCCTCCCATCACCTCCCGCACGTGGGGGCTGTCTCGGATTGCCTCGAAGTCCCGCAGCTCCCACAACACTTTGATCGGATGCCGATTCACCTCGTACCAAACGTACCATATCCTGCCCATGAATACGTATGGCTCCCCCTGTCGCCTGCAAAACAACAATATGTCCTCCTGCCCCCCCCCCTCTTCTCGAATCTCTGCAGGCTCCGACCCCGCCCCCCTGCTTTGTATAATTTCACCTTCTCTCGTTTTTCGCTCCTCTTCCTTCCTCATCCTCCCCGCCGCTAGCAGCCGGAGCATAACCGGCGTTTCGGCAGTAACGCGGCTACCCGCAAACCATGTCATCTGTCGTCCCTCCCCCAGAAACAAGTTTTCGTAGTCATGCCCGTCGGCGTTCACCCACAAAACCACGCAATTTCGCCATTCCACAACCCCAGCATATTTACTAAACTTCACGGGGCCTTGTCCATCTTCATTTGCTGGACTTATCAAGTCCATGACGCATTGTTTTCCGGTATAAGGTACCGGCTTTCCCAAGTACTCCGCAAGGCGAGAAACATCCGCCGTCCGGGTGCGTGAGCTTCCAGGAGTTGTTGTACGCCCTGTGGGAGTGCTTGCCAATACTGCCTTGGACGGTGCATCCCAAGCCTTATCGGAAAACGCGGCATCCTCCTCTGCATTCCATTTATGACGAGGACCCACGGTAAAAGCTGGAGGAGACGATGTCAAGGCATACGAAATACTATCTTCTTTGTAATCGGGCGCGTCCCGACCTAAGTTGCGAATGGATCGCCGTGTTGGCAGGGTAGGTGGTTTTGGAGGGCGTTTGAGCCTATGCACACCTTTTAGGCTGCTGAAGTTATTTTTCGGACGAGATGCAGCGAGGCCATGGGAAGCTAGGCCCACAGAGACGAGGACGGCATGGTTCTTCTTTATGTTCGCGAGACGCTCCTCCTCGATCGCAGTCAGAGCGCATGCCGTATCATCGGTTACAGAGGGATGAGGATATGACGAAGCCACCATGAATGCCCCTGTTGCATTGAGAAAGAGATAGTAATGGCTCAAAACACTCAGCAAAGAAGGAAGAGGAAAGAAGAGTGTGCCGCAAGTTGCGAGGTTCACGCACCCCCGAGTAAATCTCTTTCCTGTCGTATGGACCTATGAAAGAGCCAGCAATTGCGCAAAGTCTTGATATATGTCATAGCAACAAAACACAGGTGCCCGCCTGCCGTTTTCATCCTTTCACTGTCTACTCCCCGTGCTCTGTCTTGTTGTGGCTTCGATCCTCAACTTTGTAACCTCCTCCCCCCCCGTTCTTTAAAACTTTCATGAAAGCAGGCACTCCGTAAAGCAAACACAATAAATACAAAAAACGACCATGTTGCATTTAAGCATGCTTAGAAAAAAGCCTCGCGGTGGCGGAGACGAAGCAGCCTCCCGATGGTATGAATTGCAGACAAGGCTCAATTTATACTCACTCCTTAGTTCTTCGATCTTTAAGGTTGCTCGGATCTCGCACATGCCAAAGCGGGAACGTCCCATCGCCCCTGACTCGTTTCGCAACCGAACATCATGTTTTTGTGAAACATGCTGTCACGAAACTAATGGGTAACCGTCCCAAATATAAGGGAAGTACATCAATTACCCCGAGCTGTCCTGCATCTCTGCTGTCCAGCCCTCCCGCGCATCCCGACCCCACCTCAGGATCAAATTTTTCGAAGAGAATCTACATTACGTCATTTACTTAAAATCTGCCCCTGCCCCTACCGCCTGGACCACCCCTTCCCCTCCCACCCCGCCCGCCAACTCCGCGCCCCCTACCCCGTCCTCCAGCTTGCGCCCCGGGCTTCAGCTTATTTTTCGGACCATCATCCACCAACAATGCGTCCAAATTAAGGGCATCCGGCAGAATATAGTAGCGAATATTATTGCCACGGATGGACAGGCTCTCGTACGAGACGGGATTCTTGCCTTTCAGCGTAACCTTCACGTTCTTGAGGTACGTGTTCATCGACACGTCGACGCCTATAGTGGATATAAACGCTCATCAGATTATTGGTAACATTCACCACCTTGCAATGGCTCTACTGGCGCTATTTTGAGAAGGATGCAAACAACACTGGGGAAAAACAAATGGTGCACCAAATGCCTGCAATTTACAGACGACGTACCAGAAATAGTGCCTTGGATGGTCGTGCCATTCTTCAATTCAATGGTGACGGTCTCATTATTCAGCTTCATCAAAAATCTGCAAAGGTTTACGACGAGAGGGAATGTGTTGGTGCAAACGCCTAAAAAGGGAAACATCCACGACAAAGTGAAAGATGTACGATACCATCCGACCTGGGGCGACGGGAGCCTGTACTCCTATCCTTTTGATTGTGCATGCCACTTTACCTGACTAGCTTCATGGTGCTTCTCGGATGCCGCAGTTAGCTTATGCTGTAGTCAAGTGAGTTATTCTTACTCGTTGCGCTTTGCGGCTTCACTTCAAGAGGAGCGGGCAGACTCACCAACGCTATCCGCACCCAAAAAGTCAGCGTTTACAATCGTGCAAACGTCCTGATCCGAAGTTTTCAATGCTGCTGTAATCCCAAAGAAGGAAGTATCTGTTTAATCATGCGGTGGTGTGGGTGAGAATAGTGCAGACTGGCCAGATAATCAGAGGCACGTAAGACAACATGCATGATGGTCTGTAGGGAGGGAGATGATCATATCCAGCTTGCCGATGAACAGTTGCGATCGGCCTGGACTCTACTATGCTTTGCACGAGACGGTACATCATCCCAAATTTTCATGGCTTATGGGATTGTGCGTGGAAGCATAGGCACGCAGGTGCATGCTGATGCGACGGGGGGGGGGAAGAAAGAAGGCCTTGTGCTCATGGCCGTGAGCGACCGTGCCGGGGAAGTCGAGCTGCTCAAACAACTCTTCATTCGAAGCAAAAACACACGCAAAAAGACATTTTTCGGTAATTTACTCGCTTCAATACATTACTTTACTCAATTTTGTTACAAAGTTATTATCTACAGTCTTTTTGAGGTTCGAGTAAACTCTCAAATGCTTCTATTACACTCCTTTCCCGCCCCCGCGGCCCTAAAGCAATAAGGGCAAGGTGCATCGCTTCTCGCGCTTCTCTGTCTCTCCCGCTTTTCTTCAGGACAAGCACCAGCAATTGATGCGCTTCGAGATATGTCGGCCGTAGTGCCAACACCTCTGCCACAGCTCGTTTAGCTTCGGTTTCATCGCCTATCCACAAGAAAAATTGCGCGAAGCGCAGTCGAGCCGAGGCCAACAAGGCCGCGACACGTTCCCGAGGAAGGTCGGGAAAGGGGCAGGAAGGAGAAGAGAGTGTGAAGAAGGTCTCTTCGGCCCTATGGATGATGGCCTTGGCTTGCCTGTGGTTCTCGTCGTGGGAGGCGCTCCGATTGGCCAACAGGACCTGGGCGGCGACGAGATGGGTAGTCGGGTCGCAGGGACGGAGGTTCACGGCGGTGTGTACGCACATGAAGGACTCCCGCCACAAAGAGTCTCGATTCACGGTCGTGGTCGCCCGAAGGCTTTGTCGGGCATACGCCTCCCCGGCCGCTATGAGGGATTCCACGTCCTCGGGATGCCTCGCGAGGGCCTCTGCATGGTAGTGGAATATCCTGTCCTCCACATCCTCCTTTTCCCCGCCCCGCGCCCGTACTCCCCCGCCCCGCACGCCCTCGCCTTCTACCATGACCACGTCCCCAACGTGCACCCGCATGCTCTTCCAGCCCGGCGGCACGTACACGAGGTCCCCTGGTCCTTGCCAGCATTGCAAGGGCGGCGGGTCCATGATCCCCCCCCCGGGCCCCCGAACCCCGTCGTAGTGCTCCAATACGCCCAACGTGCCTGTCGCCCATTCCAAGGGGCCCAGGAGCGGGTGGCCCCTTCCTTGGAGCGTCAGGTTCCGGAGGCCACGCCCCGGGGGGTATAGGTAGTGCAGGACGGCGCCTCCGAACATGAGGCCTGACCAGCTCTCCCTCTCCGACACACTCCAACCCCGTCCTCCCCGAGACTTGCCCAGCGCGATGCGGACACGGCCTGCCTCTTCCTTCCCATTGTCTTTTCCGTTCCTGGATGCCTCTTCCCCCTGGCCTTTCCTGCCCGACCAGGTCATTTCCTCCCCGGCCCATGCGTCGAACAATTTGGGGGTACAAACCGCATCTGCCAGGTCCCTGGGGAGGTCCTCCAAGGCCCATGAAACTGTGCCGGTGTGCGCAAAGTCCTTCACGGCCTCCTCGGCGCCTGCGTCTCCACCGGCCGCGCCACCCGGGCGGTCCAGGTACCTGTGCACAAACTCTTGTAAAGGCAGTCGGACACCGCCAACCCCATTTCCCAAGGCAAACATGCCGGCCTTGGTCTGCCCCTCCCAAGCCTCCCAACCCCCTACCAGCACAGTCAGGTTCTTTCCGTGCCGCTTTAGAAGCCGGTCTCGTCCCCACGCCTCCATCTGCACCTCCTTCTCCTCCTGCACGAATGGCCACCGAGGCTGATTCCAAAACGCCGCCAGACTCGTTGACGACGACAGTACTACCGGGCGTTGTCCCCTGTACAGGTGCTCAAACGTGTCCGTGTCGAGAACAGCCGCGTCAAGCCTCAAAAAATCACATCCTCCGTGTCTTATCGAAGACTCCTCGTCCATAGACTCCCGAGCCCAGCCTCCACGCAACCGAGCGGCTCGTGCCTCCAGCCACGGTGTCATGAAAAGAGCATGGAAGGCAACTGCGAATGCGGCAAATGCCAAAGAGAGCAGTAGCGAGGAGGGGTTTGCCCATAGGGATTGGCGATGGTAGGGCCTTGCCGGTGCAGAGGCCATGCGTCTTTGCGCGGGGGAGGCCAGAAATTAGGGCAAATGGAAGTACTGGCACTCAAAATGGGAGATTTGATACAGACGAGTTCGAGTCTGTGTAAGTACGTAGGGTTGTTACATCAGCATGGGTGGCAGACGGAAGCCATGCTTGAATCAAAGTTGGCGAGCAGTCAGAGGTTTAATTGCCCAGCGAGCCCCAGGACTCACACTAAGAAAAGGGACGGAGATCCATCAGGAGTAAACGCCAAACCACAATATTACATGCCATACAGCATACAACGTTCAACTGAATGTCAAAATTTTCAAAGTTCTTGCTATTTGCACCAAATTCTTCCCAAAGTGTCACGAGGAAGCAAGCCGAGGCGGAAGGCACACCGCTGGCGTTGCGATTTTGGTGTTCTCTTTTTTCGTATCAAACAAGGAACCCTATGCTTTACAAGGGGATTTACTTGAGAGAAGTGTAGGTATATAGGACATGATTGAAAAGACGATATTTTAATCATTAGAATAGGCTCCATAGGGGCATGGCGAGCTCGAGCGCCTACAGGAACAAACTCGTCCACTCCCCACCTCCCCACCCCTCCCTCCATTTCCATCTTCACGGAAAACTCATCAAAATATCCACGTATACCTCCACACCATGCACACACAGTCTACCATGAGCATAAATAGCCGTAATACGGTCACTTTTGGTGGCCTGGCACCCCTTATGGAGGCTTGTGAAGAACACCGACGGCAGCATGAGTTGGGGCAGGCTGGAGGAGAGGGGGTGAAAGCCAAAGCAACGTGCATTGCTATCCTGCAGAAGCTTAAAAGCATCTTGCCCAAGCTCCTTAAACTTTACTTAAATCCTCGAACGGCGAATGTGGCCGACACACAAGGAATCTGCCACCTATTGAGCATGATTTTGTCGAAATCCATGTGCGAGCATGGGGATGAGGTTTTTGAGCACGGACAACTCACTCTCGTGGCCCCTCGCGTAATTGCCACATTCCGTCTTCTCACATTCTCCCACCTAGCACCTGCGCACCCTTCTCTTCGAAGCGTGACTGCGCAGTTGCTCAATTTGGTGGAAATGAGCGATTTGGCTGCCTACGACCGTCTCTTCGCCGACCTGGGCCTCATGCTCGAGGACGGCCAGGCGCTCTTGCGTCTTCTCCTGCGTCGAGACGTAGAAGCGGCACTCCTTTTTACGCCGGAA